CCCCCCACCCACACCTGGAAGCCCCAGGGGTCCCGTCTGCCAGTTTGGAAGCCTCTTTCTTACCTGGTAACCGTTTTTTCCTGCAGGTGGTAAACCCCAAAAAGAAAATGAAGAAAAAGAAATATGTGAATTCTGGCACCGTGAGTAGCCAGGCCTCCCCTGTGCCGCTGGGTAGACACTGAGCCTGGAGCAGGGCCTGGTGTCGGGAGTCACGAGTGTTCGTGTGCTCCTGCGGTGTGGGAACTAGACCTGGAGAGTGGGGGGTGGAGAGTGGGGGGTGGAGAGGGGTGGGGCCCGGAGCCACCGCCCAGGGCCCAGGCGCGCCTCAGGCTGCAGTACAGCAGGCTCTGTGATTCAGACTGAGAAAGCCCAGAGAGAAACTCCCACGGGACTTCCTGCGGGCGGGAAGAGGAAAGGAGGCGCAGTGATTGGGCCCTGACTCCGGGAAATTCCCAACTGAGGTGCTTTTCGCAGGTTGTTTCCTTGGGAGGCAGTGTTATCATCCCCTGTCATGACGGAGGAAACCAAGGCTGCAGGCAGGGAAGTGACTCAGCGAAGGTCACGGGCTGGAAAGGGGGGTGGCGGTCAGCACCCAAGTTACCTTCAGAGCCTGCGGCTGCTACGGGCCGGGCACTGCTTGCCTGCGACCATCCTGGGGTCACACTGGCCCAGCAGCTTCTGGGGACTGATCTTCAGGCATTTATCAATAAATGGAAGTCCTGGCCCTACTGGCATTTATATTCTAGTGGGAGGAAGCAGAAACAAGTAAATATACATACGTGTACATGCCTGTGGGTGTCAGGTGGTTATGAGTGCTGTGGGGAAAAGCAAAGTGAAGGGATAGGGATGCCAGCAACAAAACTACTATCCTCCTTCCTTCCTATATAATAAAAGCCTAATATGCAAATCAACTGAACAGCAGAATGACCAGTTGCTATGAGGCGCACTGACCACCAGGGGGCAGACTCTCAGTGCAGGAGCTGCCCACAGCCCACAGGCCTCAAGCCAGCCAAAGCGGGTGCCAGTGGCCCCCCCCCATCACCCCACCAGTCACCCCGCAGAGGGAGGTGACTGCTGGCAGCAGGGGGCGGGGCTGGTGAGTGGGTGGTGCCAGACTGGCCAAGGCGGGTGCTAGAGGGGTCCTCCCAACTGCCCCACAGGTCAGCCCTGATGTCTGGCCAGGCCTAGGGACCCCCGCCCCCGCCATGCACGAATTTCATGCACTGAGCCTCTAGTTTAATATAAAGTAGTCAAGGAAAGCTTCTCTCAGGTGACATTTGAGCTGAGATTCAAAGAAGGTGAGGAAGCAAGTATTGAGGATATTGGGGAAAGAGAATTCTAGTAGGAATCAGCATGTGCAAAGGCCCTGGGGTAGAGCCCACAATGCATTTACAGAATAAGCCAGTATCTTTGCAGGGCAAACATGCCCAAGTTCTACCCTTCATGGCCCTGCCCACTCCAGAGGTCCATACATCAGCGAATGCAGCGAAACTTAGTCATTTGAGTCAGGCAGACTGCAACCCTAAACCCAGAGGAGGCCCTAGTCAGGGGTTCTGGGGGTCCTCTGAGGACCCTCATTTTCTCCATCTGTAAAATGGGGCTGATAAGTTACTCCTACTCTGCTTACTGCACAGCGTGGCAATGACAGACACGGGAGATGCAGGCACAGTGGTTTGCTTCTCCACAGGGGCGACCCCGGCTTCTCTGATTGTAACTGTCACAGACAGGCGTGGAGTAATACAGGGTGGGGCAAAAGTAGGTTTACAATTGTTCATTTGGAAAACAACACAATAGGTAATAAGTAAATAAACAGTACAAGAATCAACTGTTTCTCACGCTCTCGACTGTAAACCTGCTTCCGCCCCACCCTGAATTTCCTTTGCTCAGAGCCGCAGGGTTTCTCAGTGGGATGCTGTCGGCGTTTTAGGCGGGACCATTCTTCGTCTCACAGGACTTCCCCTACGTTGTGGGGTGCACCCCAGGCCTCAGCCCATAGCTGCCGACGAAGCCCCAGTCATTGTGAGACCCCCAGAATTCTCCCATGCGTTCCAAGGTGCCTCTCTGGGAGGCAGCTGAGAAATATTGGGTGGACAGTGTTAAAAAGGTTTGACAAGCACTGACCTCATCCAGCTTTCTTACTTAGAGGCTCAGAGAGGGGACGTGCTGTCTTAGGTCACGCGGTGAGTTAAGGGCAGCGCAGGGCTGTGCCCAGGTCTCCTGACTTCCCTTTGCTGCAGCATTTCCCAGTCTCCATCTTAAAAAGAACCACCCAGTCTGCTTTCTAAAATGCAGGTTCCCAGGCAAGTTCCCTGGGCTCCAGGCTGGGCCCAGCCATCTGTGCTTAGTGCTTCTCAGACCCTACCTACCACGAGAGAATCTCCTGGGATCTTGTTAAAATGCCAAGAAGCTGCATTTCTGCCATAGATAGATAGATAGATAGATAGAAAGAATTGATTTCAGAGAGGAAGGGAGAGGGAGAGAGAGATAGACACATCAATGATGAGAGAGAATCATTGATCAGCTGCCTCCTGCATGCCCTCTGCTGGGGATCAAGCCTGTAACCCAGGCATGTGTGCCCTTGACCGGAGTCGAACCTGGGACCCTTCAGTCCACAGGCCGACACTCTATCCACTGAGTCAAACTAGCTAGGGCCATTTCTGCATTTTTTACTAGCAACTTGGTGATTCTGACCATGCTGGTCCAGGGACCACACTTAAAGTAGCAAGTCTCTGGGTGAATCCACGGGCAGGCAAGTTAGGGAATTACTTCATCTCTGGGCCCGGATGTTCAGCTCTGGCTGCAGGTTAGACTCTTGTGAGGAGCTAAGCAGCGGTTCTCAACCTGTGGGTCGAGACCTTTGGTGGTCGAACGACCCTTTCACAGGGGTTGCTGAAGACCATCCTGCATATCAGATATTTACATTACAATTCATTACAGTAGCAACATGACAATTATGAAGTAGCAACGAAAATAATTTTATGGTTGGGTCACGACATGAGGAACTATAAAGGGCCAGAAGGTTGAGAACCACTGAGCTAAAGTAAGATCCAGGGCCTGAGCCCTGCCCCAGAAACCCTGATGCCATTGGTGTGAGGGCCTCCCCGGGCTGCAAGATGCTTTAAAAGCTCCCCAAGAGGTCTCCTAATTGTCAGCATAGAGGCCACTGCCCTAGTCCCTCGTGAAAGGAGGCTTTGTCCAGGTGCCTAAGGCTGTGATCACCGTGGGTGGGGGTCTCTGAGGCCCAGCTCAGCATTCGCAGACCCTCTCATTTTGGGGGTGAATGGTTCATCAGCTTTGTCAAGCAGAGGCCCTACGGACCCACCTAGTGAGTCGATGAAGATGGCTGAATGTACACGAGCAGGGAGCAGCAGGGAGCTCCCCAAATCCTAGAGCAGAGGTCTGTGATGCAGGGAAATGGCCCCTCCCCCACCTGCCTCATTTAATGGGTTTCAGCTGCCAGGCTTTCCCTGGTCTCCCAGATCCCAAGTCATCATCATGACCCGCTGCTAGTGGCTGCCTGTCTCAGTGAAGCTGATGCCAAAGCCACCAGAGGGCGTAGATCAAGAGGCCTCTGCTTGGGAGAGGGGGTCCTGGGAGGGGCAGGCTGCTTACGAGGGTCTCGGGTCTGAGGGTAGAGATGGAGAGACGCCAGAGGGAGGGGACAGGGAAGGCTGCAGATAAGTGTGGACCAGAGAGGCACGTTTGAGGATGACTAGTATGGAAGCGTGGAGCTGGCCAGCCTGGCAGGTGTTAGGACTGTGTCAGGAAGACCCTTGCCCTCCACGCTCCGCTCCACACGGGGTCTGCAGTTTGGCACTGAGGTCAAGAGGGCAAGCTCAGACAGGCCTGGTTCCCATCTCACCTGGCCACGTGCGGGCAGCGTCCTTGGGCACATTGCATCACCTTGTTGAGCCTCGTTTCCTTGGGGATGAATGGGGACAATGACAGCCCTTCAGGGGCTGCTGTGAGCCCCGATTGCAGCGATGAAGGCGCATGGCACGTGCTGAGGCTCCCGCTGACCGGCTCCCTTTTGTTTTCAAGGTCACGCTGCTGTCCTTTGCCGTGGAGTCAGAGTGCACATTTCTTGACTACATCAAAGGAGGGTGAGAAGACGTGCAGCCCCGTTTCCGTGGCCTCGGGGAGAGGGAAGGGGCCTCAAACACGGGCAGGGGCAGCTCTGGCCCCACCCTGGCCTCCGCGAGGCGCTGGCTGGAGTGTGATCCTGGGCTCCAGGCTGCCTTCCCGGAGCTCTGCCTGCCCTGGAGGCTGGCCGGCTGCAGAGGGTGTTCCTGGGCCAGGCAGCCAGCCGGGCAGGCCAGGTCCCTGTGCCCAGAGGACCCCGGAGGCGGTGGGGGCTCCATGCTAGAGTCCCAAGGGCTTGGGGAGGTGGAAAGAGCCCTGGACGGGGAGTCATGAGGCCCGGGCTCCAGACCCCTTCTCCCTGAGTTTGCTGGATTCCTCGGGCAGGTCACTGTCCCTCCCAGGGAATCGGTTTCCTCCTGGGAGCACAAGAGCTCGGAGTTTGGTGAATTCTAAGATTCCTTCCTGCTCTGAGCTTCTGATACCCCTGGTGTGTCTGCGTGGCAGCGATGAGCCTGCCTGGTGTCGTGGGGGACATATAAAGGGCAGGAGAGAGTGAGGGATGGGCCAGAAAGTCGTCCCAGGACCAGCAGTTGGTGAAACACGAATTTAAGGAGCAGGAAGAGCCAGGGTCCGGGCCAAGGCAGCCAGGGAAGCCTGGAGGCTCCAGCCAACAGCTCATGGAAAAGGAGCCGACTGCCAAGGACAAGTGCCAGGCCAGGGTGTGGGTAGCCAAGAGCCCACAGGTGCAGGCAGGTGAGTAACTACACCTGTTTGGAAAGGAGACAGGGAGGGCAGCTGCCAAAGGCTCATCCCAGCCAAGTGGGCACTGGGCTGCCTGGTTCTCCAGGGCAGAGGCGAAGGCAGAGCCTGGGAAGCCACGCCCGCTCTCCCTGCCACGGCTCCCGCGGCTGGAACCGCCGTCTCAGGTGGGAGCTCTCCTTACCCACTGAGCACACACCCTCCCACAGTCCCCCGGAGGCCTCTGCCCTCACTCCCCGCCCCCCCAGCCTGCTCCCCACCCTGCTCTTGCTCCCTTCCCTCGTCAAAACCGCTCCGTTCTCCATCCACTAAGCAGCCACCCTGTACATTCCGCAGCACCTGGTAATTTCCAGTCCTACTTATCCTCTTTATCCTTCTCATTTGCATAATACCCCCAAGGTACAGAGCACAATGGGCAGGGGGACGAGGATCTTCATTTTATTTTTTAATTTTATTTTTTATCTTTATTGTTGAAATTATTGCATATGTCCCCGTTTTCCCCCATCGACCCCCTCCAGCGGATCTTCACTTTATATAACTTTCCCGAGGCCGCAGGCCTAGTGGCAAAGTGCCTCCTGTCATGACTGCTGCCTTTCTTCCACAGTTGTGCCTCCGGCGCCCAGGTGGGGTGGGTGCAGGTGGGGTGGGTGCAGGTGGAGATGGCCGAGTTAAAGGGCTGGGCACTGTGACGTCTCCTGGAGCCACAGTGCTGGACGGCTGCTGCGCAAAGCTGGCGCCTGGAGTACTGGGCAAGTTAGAACACCGAGCCGCCCTAGCCCTCCCCTCCTGCACCCGCCCCACGCCTCTCTGCACTCGCTGGAGAGCCTGAGAGGCTGGCTCCAGGCGGCGAGAGCCCGCATGCGTGTCCGGGCAGGCAGCTGATGGCGACATGTGTCTAGGGATCCTCCCCTCCCTGGCCTCCCTCCCCTGCCCACCTGGAGGGGAGGGGGTAGAGAATGGGCACCTCTGCCCCCACATCAGAGATGGAGCTGGTTGCTCAGCAGCCTGCGTTCTGCCCTGCTGTGCCCTTAGGCAGGAGAGGTGAGCCTGCCGGGAGGAACTTTCCAATCGACACCGCGTTCCAGTCCCTTCATCCCCTGAGTCATTTCAGAACCCAGAGCAGGGAAAACTGCTTAAGGAGCAAGGTCTGCCTGTGCCCTCAGCTGCAGTCCTGCAGGCCAGAACCACCCTACCAAGGGCAGCCCAGGGCACCAGGCTCTTACCCGCCCAATGTGCCCCCTCTTCCCATGAAGACACAGCCTCTATATTCCACCTGAGAGGTGACAAGGAACAGCAGGTGAATAGAGTAGGTCAACTGCTATAACAAATAATTCTCCAACCTCAAGGCTTCGTTCAAATAAAAGCTTATGTTTCATTCTTGGGGTGGCAGCGGTGGCTGGGGAGATGCTCCACAGTCACTCAGGGACCCAGGCTCTTGCCATCTTGTGGCTCCCTCTCCCTCAGAGCTTAGAGTCCATTAGATGCTCTGCCCCCAGGCAGCAGACCAGGGCGAAGTAGTGTGGGGAGAACTGTTTCTGGCCAGCAGATCCTGGCTTGGGTCTCCTGGTACCCATGTCCTTCACGCTTCCTGGGGGACAAAGGGTCCATGAGCAGTAGCCCAGCTGTGACCAGGTGGAGAGAGGGCTGTGGTTCTGATAGGGACCATCTTCTAAATGCAGGTGAGGTGAGCCCTGTCTCATCTTACATCATCCCTGGCCCCGACTTGGAACCACCATAACAGTTTCCCCACGTGTGATCCCAGTCAGTGCCAAACTTTGCACTTCTCAGCATCCTGGATGAGGCCAGAGGGTGGTCATTAAAGAAGCAGATTCTCGTCCCGTCTCAGACCAGCTGGATTGGCATTCCCGGGAGAGGTGCCCTGGGATCTTCCTTTTAAATACGCTCCCTTGATGTCTGTGATCATTCAGCATGTGAACCATGAGACTAGACTCTGTCAAGGGCTCATGTCTTGTCAGCTTTGTTCTGTTAGCACCCAGCACAGAACCTGGAGCAGCCAAACCCTCAGCAGTTTCGACCCTGAATCTGAAGCCTCAAAACCTAACCTTTTTTATTATGGAAAAATCCCAAACACGTGCAAAAGTGCAGGGGCGGTATCATGACCCCCAGGCGCCCTGCGCCCAGATTCTGCCATTGCCAGCTCCTGAATCTTGCTCCACCCGCTCTCCCTTCCAGGCGATCATTTTGAAGCAAATCCTAGACATAGTTCATTCCCCCAACTACTTCAGAGTGTGTCTCTGAAATTTAAGGACTCTCTCTGTCAAATATAACCAAGTATCGTAATCACACCTGACAACTGGAAGTTCCTAAATATCTAGTCAGTGTTCAGATTTCCCCAGTTCTAAAGTTTTTAATTGGCTTCTTTGAACCCCAAATCCAGGCAAGATCCATATACAGGGGTGGGCAAAAGTAGGTTTACAGTTATAATACAAATAAACAATAAAATAATTAACAAACAATGATATAAGAATAAACAGTGTTTCATGTTCTCACAACTTTTGCCCACCCCTGTACTGGGGCTGGTGGATTTGTCTCTTAATTCTCTTTTCTTCTATCAGTTCCCTGCCCCCCACACCCCCGCACCTGGAGGGGGCTTGCTAAGAGCCTCCTTCGCCTGCAGACAGCTTCTGATTCATGGGTCTGCAGGAGACTTAGGGTCCTCCGAGTCCCCAGGTGATCCGCTCCTGCTGGTCCCTAGGCAGGTGTGCCAGAACGTGCCACGGACTGGCTTTCGCTGGCCGCACCCCCCGCGGTGCCCTCTGACCCTGTGCTTGCTGTGAACAACTGGTAGATGGAGGCTCCGTCCGATTCAGGTTCACTGCGGGCAAGACAACTCCATGGGTGGTGTTTGTTCTTCCCTCCGGAGGTGGACAATGTCTGTTTGTCTCCTTTTTTTTTTGTCAAATAAGTCTTAACCCTGAATCTGACTGCAAATTTGAACACAGTGAGACTCTACTTAGCAGCCTCAGGGAGCCCAGGGGCAGGGTTTGGGGAGCAAATACCTGGGCGTAATCACTTGCCCACACAGAGCATCTGTTGTCTTCAAAGAGCTTCACACCTCCTGGCTCTTGTGATGCTCACAGCAGCCCTTTGGGGGGTGGGGGGCGGGGAGGCTGGCGTTACATCCCAGCTTTCCAGATGGAAAGACCACACACCGGCCAGCAGCGGCTGGTGGGCCCAGGCTTCCGGCCCTCCAGCCCTGCTCCCCCTCCCCCAGCCCCGCCTCCGCCCAGGTAACACCCTGCTGTTCTCCTTCCTCTAGGACCCAGATCAACTTCACAGTGGCCATCGACTTCACGGCTGGTGGGGGGAGGGGAGGCTTCTCGGGGCTGTGGTGGTTGCTTTCGCTGGTAGCCAGGTCTTCCATATGCTCTGGCTTCATCCTCCCTGAAGAAGAGGTGCTTAGGCCCCGAGAGCCAAAGATGGAACCACCGTCCTAACAGGTCTGGGCCCTGAGCCACAGGCTCACCCTTGAGGGCACCCGGTCTCCCTGGGGGACTAGGACCAGCTGCTCTGGGCCCTGGCGAGCCCTGGAGCGGAGCTGCTTGCTCAGGGATCGAATCCCACACCCTCTGCAGTGCAGCCCCCGGGCTGGAGGGGAGACTAGAGTCAGGCCTGAGCGCGTGGTCCTCCGTGAGGGCAGACTGCAGCTCAGGAACCCCGGTCCTCTCCGTGCTGGGGCTGCCCCACTTCCTCGCCTCCTCTGACCGTCTCCGGTGTCGGTGGGGCTGGGACGGAGCCTCCAGGAGCAACCAGGGCCAGGCCTTGCGCTGTTAGAAACATCACCACCTTCTTTGGAGTCTGGACCCCATTAGCGGTGCTCAATGCTCATTTTTGTGCCAATCAGAAGATACCCAGGTTTCACTGCACAGGTGTGTCAGAAACCCCAGGCCCCACGGAGGGTGGTAGGATGTCAGAGCTGGGAGGGGCCTCCGTGCTAAGAACAATGAGGTGAGTTACCATAACGCCTCTGTAATCCTCACAACAGCCCTAGGAAGTGGGCACTGCTATCCCCACTCTACAGATGAGGAGACTGAGGCTGAGAGCTTAGGGAGCTCACCCAAGATCACACAGCTGTTAGGAGATAGAGACGGGGCTGGTACCTTTGCAGCCTGTGCTTACTGCCTCTCGTTAATAAATAAGTAAAATACGGACAATATTTAGTGGTGATAAAGGCAATGGAGAAACGTCAAACGAGGGAGAGGGATAGAGAGGGAGGACGGGGAGCTGTGACTTTCATGGGCGGCTGGGAAGACCACACTGAGAAGGTGAAACCTGAAGAGGCGGGGGAGCAAGCCACGTGCACACCCGCGGAAAGTGTCCCAGCGCAGAGCGGGCAGCCATGGCCAAGACCCCGAGGTGGACGGAGCGAGTGGCAGGGAGGGTGTAGGAGGCGAGGACAGGAGTAACTGGAGGCTAGTCATGCGGGACCTTGTGAGGAATTTGGGTTTAACTCCGAGTGAGATGGGAGCCTCAGAGCCCTTTGAGCAGAGAAGAGGCGGCATCCGGCAGCCACAGATTGAGGGCTCGCGGCTGGTGTGCTGAGCGCGGGCGGCAGGCACAGGGCGGGGAGGCAGGGGTGTCAGGAGGCAGGGGTGTCAGGAGGCCCCGCAGGCCAGGGCACCGCGGGACCCTGGGACTTGGATATTCTCTGAGGGTTTAGCAACCGGGCTTTGCTCCAGGATGGAATGTGCCGTAAGACAGAACGGCATCGAGGGTAAATAAGCAAAAGCGAGGGGTGCCATTGGACACCCCTTCCGACTGTGAAGCCGAGGAGGCTTGGCATGTGCACGCCGGCATGTGTCCGCCCCCTGTGTCGCAGGGAACCCCTCGCAGTCCACGTCCCTGCACTACATGAGCCCCTACCAGCTGAACGCCTACGCGCTGGCGCTGACCGCCGTCGGGGAGATCATCCAGCACTACGACAGCGACAAGATGTTCCCCGCCCTCGGCTTCGGGGCCAAGCTGCCCCCCGACGGCCGGGTGTCCCACGAGTTTCCGCTGGTAGGAGGCCCAGAGAAAGGGCCGGGCTGATCCCTGGGGGTAGTGGTGACAGCCCGGGGTGGGGGCACTTCCCCTCTTACCCGCCCAGGGCCTTCAGGGGCTGCCTTTGTTGGGGGGGGCTGCCTGCTGTGTGCAGGGGGTCTTGTCTCTGGGCCTCCAGAAACCCCCTCCCCACCTTGCTCACAAAGACTCCCATCACGTCTGAGGCCACCCTCAGTGCCTCTGGCCTCCTTTTCCTGGCAAGACCAGGAGGCGGAGGGGGCACGTGACCGTACTTTCTCCCAAGGCCCCAGAAATGAGGAGGGGGTGTGGGTTGGGTACAGGCAGCTGCGGGGAATTCCAGGAGCTCCCTGGGCTGGTGCTGATGGGGGCCACCTCCTCCCCTCCCTGCCATGAGCTGGGGACGCCGAGTCGGTCCCTGGGTCACTCACAACAAACACCCCTCACAGCCTGCGGAGTGCCAGCCCGGTGCTGGGCACAGGACGAAGGAGGGGGGCAGCCCTTGCAGAGCTGCTTGGACCCTGCAGCCACTTTCCAGCTGGGCAGGTGCAGGGGGTGGGGTGAGGAGCATGTGCTACCCTTCAGGGGGGGGGCCCAAATGCCCTCCTCCCCTGTCCCCCCACCAGGGAAGAGTGTAGGAGAGCCCAGGCCTGCTGGCCACCGCCCCCTGCTCCTGTCACCCTCCGCCTTCCCACCCCTCCTTCCTCCCTGGGCTCAGCCTCCATCCTCTGCCCCCAGAACGGCAACCAGGACAACCCCTCGTGCTGCGGCATCGACGGCATCCTGGAGGCCTACCACCAGAGCCTGCGCACCGTGCAGCTCTACGGCCCCACCAACTTCGCCCCCGTCGTCACCCACGTGGCCAGGTGAGCCGGTCACTAGACCCCGTCCCAGCAGCTCACAGGCATTTGTCTCCACACCTGTCCCCTTGCCTTTCAGGGAGCCCTGACCCCAAGAGACCCCCTCCAGCCAAAGAACTGTCCCACCAAAGTGTTAAGGAACCCTGTGTGTGTGTGTGTGGTGGGGGGGTGACATGCCCAGAGCCTCCCAGACAGACTGCGCCCCATCCCAGGAATGCGGCCGAGGTGCAGGACGGCTCCCAGTACTCCGTGCTGCTCATCATCACCGACGGGGTCATCTCAGACATGGCGCAGACCAAGGAGGCGATCGTCAACGTGAGCTGGGGGGCGGGAACCCACGGGCACACCTTCCCACTCCTTTAGGGAGATGCTTGGCCTGGCTTCTCCGCTCCCTGCCCGGGGTGGGACCCTGCTGGCTTTGGGCTGCAGCATCTGGAGGGCCTGGCCCTGGGGTTGGGGGCATCGGTCCCAATGGTCCCCCCCACCTCTTAGCCACGCTGGGTGGTCCGCTCCCTCCGGCCACCTCTGGCTCCCTCATTCGCTGCCCTGGGAACTCAGCCTGGCCAGGTAGAGAACTGGGAGGTCCAGGCCACACAAAAGATGCCCCAGTGATGGAGGCCCGGAGGCAGAGGCGGGGTGGGGGTCTGGTAGAAGCAGACCTGGGTCCCTGGGTCTGTGGCCCTGGCTGCCCTCTCCCTCTCCCCTGCTTTTCTGGGTTTCTCTGTGTCTCCATCCTTCTCCCTTCCTTTTCTTCCCTGTCTTCCTCCTGACTTCCTTCTTTGATCTATCCTCTGTCCCTAAACACGATCTCCTCCTCCTTTTAACTGGCCCCTCGGCTGGGTCCCAAACACCCCCACCTCCCGCTGTCTCACAGGCTGCCAAACTGCCCATGTCCATCATCATCATCGGCGTGGGCCAGGCAGAGTTCGATGGTGAGTTCACCACCACCCCCTCCGACCCCCACCCCTCACCCCCCATCCCCGCATGCTCCCCGAGGCTCCGGGCCCCTGGGCATGGCCCTGTTCCACAGCGAGGCTCACACCTGGGTGTGTGATCAGCTGGGTCAGCTGGCAGCTCACAGGTGTTTGTTTGCACAGGGGCCTGTGTGTCAGGGCGTGCGCCCCACACCCACACCCCAAGGCCGTGGAGAGGAGGCCAATGACTCCTCCCTCCTCCCACCCTGGGAGCCTGGGAGCGGGGAGCTGGAGGCTGGGCTAGAACTTAGGACTCACTGGGTGGGCTTCCCTGTGAGATTGGCCCCTGACTTGCTCCCACTCCATGCCTGCCCCCCTCCCTCACCCCCCACAGCCATGGTGGAGCTGGACGGCGACGAGGTGCGGATCTCCTCCCGGGGGAAGCTGGCGGAGCGGGACATTGTTCAGGTGAAGCCCTGCTGCCCCCCAGCCGGCTGGCCTCACACTCCCTGGGGGCTTTTCTGGAAAGGCTAGAGGGCAGCCTGAGACTCACCCCAAACGTCGCCCACCCAGCCCTCCCCGCACCCCAGGCCTCCGTGGGCTCCTCCAGAGCACGCGCCTGGTTATTGCACCTCCTGTGCTCTGCCCGGCGCCTCCCGCCCCCCGCAGCTGGCAGCCCCTGGAGGGAATCTACCCGCTCGGCTCGGTGACAGTGTCCTGAGTCTCCGTGTAGGATGCAGGTGTAACGAGCAGACAGGCCCTCACATGCACCTCAGCCGGCAGCCCCTCCCGGCGGCCCCTGCGGACAGGCCCACTGCTTAGGAGATTCGGAATGAAAAGCACATTCTCCATACCCTGGGTGGGAGGGGTTGTTCCAGGCGTGGAGGCCAGATGGGGGGCTAGAAACCCGAGCAAGCCTGGGAGGTGGATGCGAAGGCCTGGGGGACACCCTGGAGGAAGCAGAGGGGCCTGACCTAGGAAAGAGGGCTCTGCTGGGAGGGGGGCCACCTGAGGGCCCAACTCCCGGAAGCCAGGGGTCCATTCAGCATTCCCTAAGTGCCCGCTAAGTGCCCGGTGCCCAGACCTTGGGCCGAGGAACCGCGTTGAGCACCCTGGCGTGGGCTAGGTGCTCAGGAGGTGTTTGCGGGACGGAGAGAGGGTGACATGATGACGGCTTCCCTGGAGAGCTCACCGTGGGGGAGGGAAGGGGGAAGTGGGCAGAGGTTGGGAGGAGGGGCAGGATTTCCGCCTGGAGATGCGGGGGGCTGGGCCCAGCAGAGACCTGGCCTAACCCTGCCTCCCCCGCCGGCCAGTTCGTGCCCTTCAGGGACTACGTGGACCGCACGGGCAACCACGTGCTGAGCATGGCGCGCCTGGCCCG